GATTAGGCAGGCGGATCACCTGAGGTCAGGAGTTCCAGACCAGCCTGGCCAACATGGTGAAACCCTGTCTCTACTAAAAATACAAAAAAGAAAAAAAAAATTAGCTGATGCGGTTTGAGTTTGATTCTCAAAAAGGAGCAGGGTGGGGTGGCTTTGGTGGGTTGCGATAGGAGGGGGCTTCTCAATGGGTGGGTGGGAAGTGCAGGTAGGATGTCTGGGTTCCTTCAGAGGGGGACAAGTGGCTAGGGGAGGCCTGGGACTTTTTATTTTATTTTATTTTATTTTATTTTATTTTATTTTATTTTATTTTTAAAACAGAGTCTTGCTTTGTCGCCCAGGCTGGAGTGCAGTGGTGAGATTTTAGCTCACTGCAACCTCTGCCTCCCAGGCTCAAGTGATCCTCCCACCTCACCCTCCCGAGTAGCTGGGGCCACAGGTACTCATCCCCAGTCCTCCCTATTTTATTTTATTTTTTGTATTTTTAGTAGAGACAGGGTCTCACCATGTTGCCCAGGCTGGTCTTGAACTTCTGAGCTCAAGCGATCCGTCCACGTCAGCCTCCTAAAGTGCTGGGATTACAGGTGTGAGCCACTTTGCCCTGCCACAGGACTCTTCTTGGAGAGGGGATGGGAAGGGCTGGGAGCTACCAGGAGGAGGGACTTGGACACAGCACCTTGTCGAAGGTCTGGGTCTTTGGTCGTGGCATGGGGTTAAAGGTCAGATAACTGAGATGTCAAAGGGGAACCGGTCAGGGAGGCATTGCTATCTCTCTGTCTCCGAGGAAGGAGGCACAGAGCCACGAGGCCCGTGGGTTCCCTAGAAACAAGGGTTGGCAAGTGGGTGTCTGAGGGGGCAGGAATTTGGCAACAAGATTTCTGGGTCCTAATAATGGTGTGGCATGGGAGAAATCAGGTCAGAGTTAAGATACTCCTGAGTCCCGAAGAAGCTAGGCGGGAGGATGGGGTTCAAGACTGTGGGGGCGGGGAGCAACTTGTTTGTGTAGGGGTGGCTGGGCGTGGCTTTCACCCAACCTGTAGAACCTGTAACATCAGCCTTCGCTGGGCAGCCATCAGGGCGGGCGCTGTGGGCCTCGCACCTAAGCAAGGCATTCTGGCCACGCCCCATCCCAGGCCAAGCCAAGTTCTGTTTCTTTTTTTTTTTTTTTTTTCCTGTGATACAGGGTCTTGCTTGGTCTTGCTCTGTTACTCAGGCTGGAGTGCAGTGATAGTGGACTGATCATAGCTCACTACAGCCTGGATCTCCTGGGCTCAATCAATCCTGCCTGCTTGGCCTCCCAAAGAGGTGGGATTACAGGCATGAGCCGTCATGCCTGGTCAGAACAGGCCAACTTCTGATCGCAAATGTGTACATATCTAGAGAACTTCGAATCAGAGAATAATAGTAATAACGAACTTTTACTTTATTTTATTTTTTTGAGACAGGGTTTTGCTCTGTCTCCTAGGCTGGAGTGCAGTGGTTTGATCACCACTCATTGCAGCCTTGACTCCGGGGTTCAAGTGATCCTCCTGTCTCAGCCTCCCTAGTAACTAGGACTACAGGCATACACTGCCACGTTGGCTATTTTTTTTTTAATTTTAATTTTTAGTAGAGACAATGTCTCACTATGTTGCACAGGCTGGTCTCGAACTCCTGAGCTCAGGCGATCCTCCAGCCTGGGCCTCCCACAATGCTGGGATTACAGGTGTGAGCCACTACACCTGCCATAGCTAGCATTTATTGAATACCTGCTGTCTGTCAGGCCCTGTGTGTAATGCTTTGCAAACATTTGCACACCGAATTCTCAAGAGCCCTTTGAGGTCATAGGGCAGGGGGCTTAGGATTAGAGCCACACCTCCCAGTGCACCCTGAGCCCCTCCTTAGCCCCACCACTATCTTGTAGGAATTGAAAATCTTAAAATTTTTCTTTAAATTAAAAAACGACCAAAAAAAAAAAAAAAGGATCAGGCCGGTTGCGGTGGCTCATACCTATAATCCCGGCACTTTAGGAGGCCAAGGCGGGCAGATCACTTGAGGTCAGAAGTTTGAGACCAGCCTGGCCAACATGGTGAAACTCCGTCTCTGCTAAAAATACAAAAATTAGGCTGGGCACAGTCGCTCATGCCTGTAATCCCAGCACTTTCGGAGGCCAAGGTAGGTGGATCACTTGAGATCAGGAGTTCGAGACTAGCCTGGCCAACATGGCAAAACCCCCTCTCTATCAAAATACAAAAATTAGCCGGGCGTGGTGTTGCGTGACTATAGTCCCAACTACTCAGGAGGCTGAGGCAGGAGAATTACTTGAACCCAGGAGGCAGAGGTTGCAGTGAGCCAAGACTGTGGCACTGCACTCCAGCCTGGGTGACAGCGCGAGACTCCGTCTCAAAATAAAAATAAAAATAAAAATAAATTATAAATAAATAATAAAAATAAAAATACAAAAATTAGCTGGGCATGCTGATATGACTATAATCCTAGTTACTTGGGAGGCGGAGGCAGGAGAATCGCTTGAACCTGGGAGGCAGAGGTTGCAGGGAGCTAAAATCATGCTACTGCACTCCAGCCTGGGCGACAGAGTGAGACTCTGTCTCAAAAAACAAAACAAAACAAAACAAAACAAAACAAAACAAAACAGGTTGAAAACCCATTAGCCTGACAAAAGTTCAAAGTGTTGACTATGCAAGTGTTGGCAAGGAGCTGCTATGAGTGCAGATGGACAAACTATATTGGAGAGCAATTTAGCAGCATCCACGAGACCTTTGGACAAATGGACAGGTCATTTGTCCAGCTACCTCCTTCAGAGCTGTGGCTTGTAAACACTTTTGCTGGACATTAATACAGCTATAGACACCTGAAGCAAAAGTTTCACAGACGAGCTCTCACTCGGACTATGAGCATGCACTCTAATAGCTTCTATTTAATTCCATTTCATTAAAGGAAAAATTGTGTATAACCCACTAAATTGATTTCACAACCCACTAATGGATCTTGTTTGGCCATTTGAAAAATACTGCCCTAAGAAACTCCAAGAGACATGTTCAGGGATGTTAACTGCATTCTTGTCGGAAGTGGAGGAAAGTAGCAACAAGGTGGGTGTTTACCACCAGCAACCCGACATAAATTGTGGTGTATTCTCACAATAAACTCTTGTGCAGCATTTAAGGTGAATAAACTGAACACGAATACCAGCAGTGTATGTCATAAACACATAATGATGAGTGGCCTGGGTTGAATCATTTCCTTCCCCACCAAGTTCATGTTCACTGGAACTTATGAATGTGACCCTATATGGAAATAAGGTCTTTGCAAATGTAATCAGATTAGGATAAGGTTCTATTGGATCAGGGTGGGTCCTAGATCTGACTGATGTCCTTATGAAAAGGAAATTTGGATACAGTTACAGGTACATACACACACACACAACATATGATGATGGCAGCGGAGAGATTGGAGTGATGCATCTATAAGTCAAATAACACTAAAGATTACCAGTGAACACCACAAGCTGGAAGAGGTACGCTGCTCACGGCCGTAAGCCTGTCACTTTGGGAGGCTGATGTGGGAGGATTGGTTGAAGCCAGGAGTTTGAGACCAACAGGTTGGGCGCAGTGGCTCACGCCTGTAATCCCAGCACTTTGGGAGGCCATGGCAGGCGGATCGATCACAAGTTCAGGGTTTGAGACCAGCCTGACCAACATGGTGAAACCCCGTCTCTACTTAAAATACAAAAAGTAGCCAGGTGTAGTGGCACGTGCCTGTAATTGCAGCTACTCAGGAAGCCGAGGCAGGAGAATCGCTTGAACCCAGGAGTCGGAGGCTGCAGTGAGCCAAGATCATGCCACTGCACTCCAGGCTGGGCGACAGGGCGAGACTCCGTCTCAAAACAAAAACAAAAACAAAACAACAACAAAAAACTGGGCGTGGTGGGATGCTGCCTGTGGTCCCAGCTACTGGGGAGGCTGAGGTGGGAGGATTGCTGGACCCCAGGAGTTTGAGGCTTCAGTGAGCTATGATTGTGTTGCTGTACTCCAGCTTGGATGACCCAGTATCTTGTCTAAAAAAGAAAAGAAAAAAAAAATCTGCAACTATATGAACTCTTTTCCCAGATTTGACAGGTTTTTTGTATCCGCTTTGTAACTATATGAAGTCTTTTTCCAGATTTGCCTCAAAGTGGATACAAATGAAGTGAATGACATGAAAAGACGCTCCACAATATGATGCATTAGGGAAATGAACATGAAAATCACAGTGAATGCGGCTTCACACCCACTAAGATGACTGTCATAAACAAGACAGACAATCACAAGTGTTGGCAAGGATATGGAGAAATTGGAACCCTCTCCACTGATGGTGGGAATGTAAAATAGTGCAGCTGCTTTGGAAAATAGTTTGGCATTTCCCCAAAATGTTAAACATAGGGCTAGAGCATTCCTACGTGTATATATATATCCCAGAGAATTGGAAGCATATATCTACCCAAAGACTTGTGGAAACAACCTCAAAGTCCATCAGTTGAAGAATGGATAAACAAAATGTAGTCTACTCATACAACGGAAAATTCTTCGGCCATTAAAAGGAATGATTTTTTGTTTGTTTGTTTTGAGATAGGGTCTTGCGCTGTCTCCCAGAGTGGAGCGCAGTGGCACGATCTCAACTCACTGCAGCCTCCATCTTCCGGGCTCAAGCAATCCTCCTGCCTCAGCCTCCCGAGTAGCGGGGACCACAGGTGCACGTCACCCCCCGCTAATAGGAATGAAGTATTGATACATACTGCAATGTGGATGAACCTTGAAAACATAATGCTAAGTGAAAGAAGCCAGTCACTGGCCAGCCTGGGCAGATGACAGCTGTAATCCCAGCACTTTGGGAGTCCAAGGCAGGCAGATCACCTGAGGTCAGGAGTTTGAGACTAGCCTGGGCAACATGTTGAAACCCCCCTCTCTACTAAAAAACAAAAATTAGCCAGCCATGGTGAGATGCGCCTGTAATCCCAGCTACTCGGGAGGCTGAGGCAGGAGAATCTCTTGAACCCAGGAAGTGGAGGTTGCAGTGAGCTGAGATAGTGCCATTGCACTCCAACTTGGGTGATATAGACTCCATCTCAAAAAAAAAGAAAAAAGAATCTGGTGATAATTGCACAATTCTGTGAATATACCAAGTCGCTGAATTGTACACTTTTTACAATTTCATTTTAATTTTCTTAGAGACGAGATCTCACTGTGTTGCCCAGGCTGGTCTTGAACTCCTGAGTTCAAGTAATTCTCCTGCCTCGCCCTCTCAAAGTGGTGAGATTACAGGCGTGAGCCACGGTGCCCGGCCAGAATTGTACACATTAAAGAGGTAAATTGTATGGTATACACATTATATCTCAATAAAACAGGCTGGATCAGAAAGGCAAATACTGCTCATTTTCACTTGTAAGTGGGAGCTAAACGTTGAGTACTCAGGGACATAAAGACGGCAACAATAGAAACTGGGGACTTCTAAAGGGGAAAGGGAAGAAGGGAGGGGGAAAGGGCTGAAAAACTGTTGGGTACTATGCTTACTACCTGGGTGATGGGATCAATCGTACCTCTAACCTCAGCATCATGCAGTATACCCAGGTGACAAACCTGCACATGTACTCCCTGAATCTAAAATGAAAGTTGAAAAAAATAAAACGAAATAAAGCTATTAAATAAAAAGTGGAGACCTGAGTATAGCCACAAGAGGGCGCTCTGAGCACAGGGTTACCGCCTCCCTTGGGAACGGAGTTTCTCGGCCACGCCTCAAACTATGGCCACACCTTTGAGGCCCTGGCCTCGCCTCTTGGACTGTGGTCACACCCCCAAGGCCCTAGCCTCACCCCTAGACCTTAACCACACCCTAAGGTCCGGGTCACATCCTCAAAGCAGTGTCTGAAGCAGCTCATTCACGCCCCCAACTCCCCAGACTCTGACCACAAATGCATGCAGACTTAGAGATCCTCGGAAACATAGAACCTTAAACCATAGACTTTTCTTTCTTTTTTTCTTTCTCTCTCTTTTTTTTTTTTCGAGACGGAATTCCGCTGTGTTGCCCAGGCTGGAGTGCAGTGGCGCCAACTCTGCTCACTGCAACCTCCGTCTCCCGGGTTCAATCGGTTCTCGTGCCTCACGCTCCCAAGTAGCTGGGATTATAGGCTCATCTCACCACACCCGGCTAATTTTTTGTATTTTCAGTAGAAACGGGGTTTCACCATGTTGGCCAGGCTGGTCTCGAACTCCTGACCTCAAGTGATCTGCCTGCCTCGGCCTCCTGAAGTGCTGGGATTACAGGCGAGAGCCTCCAGGCCCGGTCAAACCCACAGATTCTTAAACCATGACTTTTACTTTGAAATCATTTGCTTTTCTTTTGAAATCATTTTAAAGTTACAGAGAAGTTGCAAGAATAGTTTCAGACATTATGTCCCTTTGCCTCTAAATGCTTCAGTTGTATTTCCAAGTGTAAGGACATTCTCTTACACCACCACAGTACAGAGGAGCAGCATCCATTTCTCAGTGACACTAGTATCTAACAGTGCAGCCTGTATGCAAATTGCCAGCTATCCCCAAACTGTCATAGCAAAAAGTTTTCATCTCTTCAGTTTCCTTCAGTCTGGCACAGTTCCTTAGCCTTTCTTTGTTTTTCATGGAATTGACGTTTTCGAAGATTATAGGCTAGTTCTTTTGGAGAAGTTCTCCTTGATTTGTGTTTGTGTGATGTTTCCTGGCCAATCCACCCACCTTGGCCTTCCAAAGTGCTGGGATTACAGGTGTGAGCCACGATGCCCTGACTCTGTGTGTGTGTGTGTGTGTGTGTAGTGTGTGAGGCAAACTCTCACGCTGTCACTCAGGCTGGAGTGCAGTGGCATGGTCACAGCTCACTGCAGCCTCGAGCTCCTGGGCTCAAGCAATCCTCCCACCTCAGCCTTCTGAGTATCTGGGACTGCAGGCACGTGCCGCCATGTTTGGGGTTAGAGCCGGGGTCTACCTATGTTGTCCAGGATGGTCTTGAACTCCAGGGCTCAATCTGTCCTCCCACCTCAGCCTCCCAAGGGGTTGGGATTACAGGTGTGAGCCACTGCGCCCGGCCAATGCTCTTAAAGTCATTTTTTGGAATGTCACAGGCATTTAGAATTTGGCAGATTTCATGCGCACATCTAGGAGAGGTGTCCTCTGCCTTCCTGGGTTTACTCGATGTGAGAACAAGCGACTGGGGGCCCTGAGAGATACATTGAAGATACGACTTCTGGCGTTAGAGCTGTCCCCGGAATGCTAGGACTGTCACCCATGAGGAACTTGGAAGTTGAGGGGTGAGTGCTTACATTTTTCTTTTTTCTGTCACCTAGGCGGAAGTGCAGTGGCATGATCTTGGCTCACTGAAACCTCCGCCTCCTGGGTTCAAGCAATCCTCCCACTTCAGCCTCCCTAGTAGCTGGGACTACAGATGTGTGCCACCATATCCAGCACATTTTTGTATTTTTAGTACAGACGGGGTTTCACCATGTTGGCCAGGCTATGAGTGCTTAATTCTGTGAAGGCTGGGAGGCTGGAGGCCCCAAGCAGGACCCTTCCCCCATCTTTGGAGTCTGCCTTTCTCCAGCAGAAGGGGGAAGAGTGTGGAAGGACACATGCCCAGTCCCAAGGTCTAGGAGGCTGAGAGGGGATTTCCATGTGTACACAGGCCAGATCCCTTGTTTTAGAGAAGTTACTTACAAAGTTCAGTGCTGGGTTCAGCTCTCAGGCCCGGGGACAGTTTCTCATACACAAAAAGCCACATCACCCACAGCCTAGACCCACAAGCACAAGAGGACTTCCAACACACTCCAGGCTGCTGATGGGCCAGGTCCTGTGCCAAGTGCCTGACACCCACGCTCTCATTAAATGCCCAACAGCCCATCAACCCCGGGGGGTGGAGGGGACTCTCATTTTACAGGCGAGGAAACTGAGGCTCAGTGTGGTGAAGTCACTTTACCTTGAGTCATTTAGTCATTTGGTGGCAGAGCCCTGGTTGTGACAGATACACGTGTGGTCCCTCAATAACCATTCTCTCCTCTTCCTTTTGTAACAGAACCCCTGAATTTTGGCCGGGTACATGCCGCCCAGATAAAATCATATTTCCCAGCCTCTGTTGTGATAGGTGTGGTCATGTGACTGAATTCTGGCCAAATAGGATGTGATGTTTATGATGTGTATGACTTCTGGGATGTAACTTTAAAGGGTAGGGGCATACAATTGATTTTTGTTTCTTCTTCCCAATGGTTGGACTGTGGATGTGATGGTAGGAGCTGGAGCAGCCATTTTGGACCACACAATGGAAGTGTGAGGTAAGGGCAGCAGAACAACCAGGTGGAAGGAGCCTCGATTTCTGACATCCTTGGCTACTATTCTAGATGTAGGTTTTCACTGGGCCTTTACATGAGAGAAAAATAGACACTCATCTTATTTAAGCTACTATAGGCTGGATGTGGTGGCTCATGCCTGTAATCCCAGCACTTTGGGAGGCCAAGGTGGTTGGATCACCTGAGGTCGGGAGTTCAAGACAGCCTGACCAACATGGCGAAACCCCATCACTACTAAAAACACAAACATTAGCCTGGCGTGGTGGCAGGTGCCTGTAATCCCAGCTCCTCAG